CTGGAAAGAGCTTTCATTCCTAAAATGCCTGTTCAATCTTCTCCAGGGAAGAAAAGCAGTAGATACTAAGGGATTCTAATGTTTTTACACAATACAGAGTCCTTGACTTGTAAATAATTCAGGATCACTCCTTATTTATGGAGGAGTCTTTTAAATATCCCTAATTTTAATTCTATTTCACTTGATGTGACCTTTTGATATTCTGACTACTATTTTGGATGAATAGGAGGAACATAGGCTCTGTAATCAAAATGGTTAGGTTCTTTTTTTATGTGACTCCTTTGTTAGCACCACATCTTCCTAAATTTATGTTCCAACTAGAAATAGAAGTGGATGCCTATGGGGTAAGCGGTAAAGGGGCCCATATGTATGGCGATGGATAAAAATTAGACTATTGGTGGAAAGCGTGATGCAGTCTATACAGAAACTGATATAAAATAATGTACACCTGAAATGTACACGATGTTATAAACCAATATGAGCTCAATAAAATTGAAAAAACTACTTGTTGAGCACCTATTAGATACAATGTACTGAAATACCTGCAATGGGCATACAGAGATGAACAGGATATACAAGTTAGAGTCTGGTAGGGTAGATCACAAATGTCCATGAATAAAAAAAAAAAAGAAGTGGATGCCTATGCATATTCTAAATAGTCCTGAGTATTGATTGAACATGTGTCCACTGACATAATAAGGTAGAACAAAGCCCTGGAGTCACTCACTCATGGGTCCTACCTAGGACTAGATCCCTTCTTGTGCTCCTTTCTTGCCAGGTAAGAAATCCATCTCTAAGACCCAGGTTCTTCTCCAGGAAGAGGCCAATAGTTGGCATGCCCTCCTGCATTTCAGTATCCCTCCATGAAAGGAGGGCTGGTTTCCAATGGGCCTGAGTTCTGTGCAGAGCCTGACCGTGGCTTGGCTTTTTGCAGCCGACTTCCCACCTTTGCCCTGGTTCCTGGGATGAAGTCATTGTATCAAGTGCTTCATCTTTTCCCCACCGAGTTCTCTCCAGAGGAGCCTATCCCTTCCGTTGCAAGAACTGGAAATTCTTGCTCACAAGGTTGTCTACTAACCTCCTGTCTGGACAGGGATTCCTCTTCCCTCTGGCTTAGGAGGTCCTTAAATCTGCATCTCCTCCCTAATGCTCCCCTACTTTGTGTCTCCTAAGGCTCTCTCTCTCATCATTTGGCGTGGAAATTGGACTTTTACTCTTCGGGGCCTGCTTTGTACAATGGGCAGTATGAGACCTAAAATCTGAATCATTCACTCCTAGATTCCAACTATTCCAGCAGCAGTCAAGTTCCCTAAACTATTATTCAAGAATAGTCTTATAATTTCCCCCCAAGTAACTTAAGAAAAAAAGCAGTGGCAGGGCAGGGGGTGGAACAAAGGGCCTTTTCATATATTTTTGAATTAATTATAGAAATATAGACTTGATTTAAATTCTTAAATATTTTGCATACATTGGAATAAGAAAGTGAAAAACATTAAACGGAAATTCAGTCACGAAAATAGACCCCACGGTCACATTCCACCTCTTGCTTTCATTTTCTCAAATGCCATTCAAGGTAGTCTTTGACTAATTATCCAATTAATTGTTAGCTTGACTCTCAGCTTATGGCCAAAATGTCCTATCGTCAATCTTCCCAGTATTAATAAATATTAGTACCATCCACACAATTGCCTGAGCCAGACATCTAGTTGTCACGCTTAATTATGATTTATTTCTTACCCTACTTTAAATCCATTTGGAAATTCTTTCTTCCATCTCCAAAGCATATAGAAATTTAGTCCACATATTTTTCCATCTTCACTGCCACCAACTCAGGCCATGATGGCATCATCTCTTGACTTAATTACTTATAAAATTCTTACAATGCCTCTAAGCTACTGCTCTCATCCATTGTTCATAGGGGAATAAGAGTGATTTTAAAATATAAATCAGATCATGTCACTGCTCTGCTCACAATGCCCACAATAGCTTCTCATTTCACTAAGATAAAAACTATATGTTCCTGCTGGTAGCCAGGAGACGTCCCCCATGATAATATAAGCTTCTGTGGACATGGGCATCTGTTTCTTCTTTTGGTAAATGATTGAGTAATACATTCATTAACGATAATACATAAAGCTCAGTATAATTCTCACAATTAATGGAGAATTTCTTTTAATTTTTGTGGAGGGAAAGCTAGGTTTGGCACAAACATTAACAAAAAATTAACAGTAATTAGTTTATATGTTTAACTGTTGATTTGTTTTCCTCTTAAATATATTATATTCCTTGTTTTATATGACAGGAAGAGAGGGAAACTGAAATGAAATCTCATGTGGTTCAATCAAGTTGATGTCTATGCCAAAATAAGCACTTTCCAATGTTTTAAATTAATAAATACAGATAATACAGATAAAATAAAGATAACTGAATTCATAATTAAGGAAGATGGGAGAGTTTGTGAAAGGAAGATTGGAACTGGATTTATCCTGGCTCCTTATTAAATGTTAGTATGAATTTGAGACAAATTGCTTCCCGTTTCTAAGTCTAGTTGACATTGCCTATAAAATGAAGTGGCAGGTTAAGGGGGTCCCACCCTTCTGAAGCTGGCAAACAGCCATTGATGATCAAGCATCTTGGTACTCAAGTTTTTTCCTTTTTGCAATTACTGATTATAGCTTTTAGCTGTTTAACCCACCCATCATTAACTGTGCTGCTTAGGCAATATGCTATCTGACTCCCACTAGGTTCCTATAGGTAACATCTTCCTGGAGCCTGGGTCACCATGGTATTGGGTGTGTGAGCTGTTTTTTAGGAATTAGAACTCCTTGTCCACTTCAGCCTGGTTGAGACCACCAACTCATCAACTGGGCCCACACAGATGTCCAATAGGCGACCTTTTAACATCAAGAAGCTAAAATGTCCACCCTCAGATCATGCTAATGCCGCCATTTTGTGAACATGGGTCCTATGAAGAGGCATGAAGTCTGACTACGCTTGTGCAGATCGTCAATTACCTCTCCTCTCCTCACCTCCAATCACCTCTCTCCACATTTAAGACCACCTTGCCCCCTATCCCGTACCCCGAGTCCCTATTTTCAGGGAAGCGAATTTGAAGCTCATGCTCTTACTTCCTCGAATGGCTGCCTTGTGATTAAACCCTCTCTCTGCTGCAATTTCGTCTTCTCAGTGTTTGGCTTTCTGGGCGGTGGGCAAAAACAAAGCTGCTTCCATAACACTTCTAGAATCCAGCCTCACAATCACTCTTCATCTTGTAGCACAAGGATATTGAAGACAGAAACTTGTTGCCTCACACCCAATTATTTCCTGTGCCCTGAGCAATCATCCGTCCTACTTGACAGCCTCCAAAATCCATTAGCATAAAGTGACTTTAGCCCCAGATTCAGGAAAATCGCTCTCTGTCTATAGATAAACTTTCTTAAGTTTTATTGCAGGCTGTGTAGCTGCTTTAATAGCAATTGCTTTCTAGAGAACTAAAGTTTAGCAGCCTAAAACAATTTGAGGCAGTAGAGCGTGGTGGCTAATGGCAGAGACAGATCTAGGTCCAGATCACCCAATTTTGGTCTCTATGGTTTTTTTGTTTTTCCTATTTTAAATTTTTTCCAGTTTTTTTGAGGTATAATTGACAAATAAAAATTGTGTATATTTACGGTGTACAATGTGATGTTTTGATATACATACTCAATATGAAATGGTTACCACAATCAGGCTAATTAACATATCCATCACCTCACAGTTACTATTTTTTGTGTGTGGTAAGAATACTCAAGATCCACTCTCCTAGCAAATTTCAAGTATACGTTTTGAGACCAGCTGTGCAACTCAGGCAAATGATTTAAACTGTGTTTGTTTTCGTGTCTGTAAAATTGAGATAGTAGTAATACATTACTCTTTGGGTTACTAGGATTAAATAAATTGTCATAACATGGTGATAGTATTGCCTGACACTCATTAAGCCTTAGAGAAGTGTTACCTCTTAGATGTATGTTTATTGCCAAAGGTAGATGTCCATTATGATGATGCTTAAATTCTTTAAGTAACCAACCATAAGCAGCATTTTATTAAAAATGATAAGATAGTAGCACTTTAAATTTTTTAAAACCTTAATGAAAAATATTTTGGCAAAAATCTGTTTCCAGAACGATGTAGCATCCAAATACGTTCAATAAGCAATTGAGTAACCAATGGCACAGTTCAATTCTCATAATTGATATAAGAAATTTCCCCAAAACCAGAAGTGATTTTAGGTGTGTTACATGGACAGACTCCCTCTTTAGGGAAAAGAAGATGGTACAAGTAACTGGTGATAAATGATCATCTAATAACTGCTCTTTAGTGGTGGGATGGCTCTACGCTTGATCGCCTCAATCAGCCAAATATTTCAAGTGTGGAAGAATTCACCAGGAAGAAAGGAAACTCTGACATCAAATTTCAGTTAAAGGAGTGCTTCTTAAATTCTAGAATATGAACCTAATTTCTTCTGTATTAATTACTCAAATGTGATATATATTAAATTATTTTTAGGACCCAACTTTAGTTATTAAATAGGCAAGCCCACACATGTTAAAGCATCTTCACATAAAAGGACTTTGTCTTTCTTAAGAGTCAGTATGTTAAATTTTAGACTCTGCACAAATTTTAATTTCTGGCACATTTACATGCCTATCTCTACTTTTTCATCCTTACTGAAAAAGATTTAGAACATATTTCTTGGAGGGTCATGTAAAGAGATCAAACTACTATTATTGAAGACATATTCCTGAATATACTATATAGAACAGAAAATAAAACTTAAATGAGTAATATGAATTACCTAACAGTTAACATTAAATTAGTATGCCATACCCCTAATGAATAAAAGTACCTAAAAATATACTTTCACTGAATCAGGATCTTTACTGAATTAAGGTTTTTTTTTTTTTTTTAGGGATTAGATGCCTAAGGAAAGATTTATACCAACTATTTTTTTGTATAAAAATACATTATTTTTCCAACAAAATTGATGATACCAATTCCAAGTTTCCATTTCTCCATAGGAGGGACTCAGTTTGACTACAATTTAATAATCCTAACTCTTCTGGCGTTGTCTCGAAGTCAGCAATAAAGGGACTAGGATCCAATTTTATTTCATTGTCTATAGAAACTGGTATAAGCCATATTGATTTCCTAAAGAAAAGGAAAACAGAAAGCAGGTAAGGTTGGCATACTAGGTACCAGGTCCTTCTGAGTCTAAATTTGGGGCCAAGTTATTTTTACCACTGTTTAATGCCAGGATCATTTCAGTATGGTGATTTAGTGTGGTATAATGCCTGTACATTCTGCATAATAGATGATTTATAATGCCTGCATTGGCAGAGCACCAAAGTGCCCAGTAAAACAAACTTAGACAAGTGGATCCTGAGAACAGTAAGTAAAAACTGTCAAAAGCTTAATCTGACCCAGTGTAGTGGTGGCAAGGGAGGGGTGTGTGTGTGTACACACGGTAGAATTCATGCACCAAAAACCTGATCATATACCTTTGTTGGCCTAGTCTTCATTTTTGTCTAAGGAAGATAAGCTGCAAACAATATAAAAACTACTATCAAAATGGAAATGCCTTAGTCATTACTATTAGTCTGGTAGCCTTTGCAGAGACAATGCTCCAGGGCATTAGGTCAGAGCTTTTTACATTACTCTAAGCATTGGCTAAGATATAGGGATGAAAATGTGTGTGTGTGAGAATCAAGTGCTGGTTTCTATTTAGGGTCAGCTACTTCCCAGAGTATCATTAAATCCCTCAGCCTTGGTTTGGCCCTATGAAAATAAGTAAATGGAGGATAAAGAGTATTCAGCGATGTGAATGTACTTGATGCCACTGAACTACACACTTAAAAATGGTTAAAATGGTCAAAAGCCCAGAAATAAACCCACATATATATGGACAGCTAATTTTCAACAAGGGAGCCAAGAGCATACAATGGAGACAGTCTCTTCAATAAATGGTGTTAGGAAAACTGGACACCACATGCAAAAGAATGAAAGTAGACCATTATCTTACACCATGCACACAAAAATTAACTCACAATGGGTTAAAGACTTGAATGTAACACCTGAAACCATAAAAATTCTAGAGGAAAACATAGGCAGTACGCTCTTCAACATAGGTCTTAGCAGCATATTTCAAATATCATGTCTGACTGGGAAGGGAAACAATAGAAAAAATAAACCAGTGGGACTACATCAAACTAAAAAGCTTCTGCACAGCGAAGGAAACCATCAACAAGACAAAAAGACAACCTAACAATTGGGAGAAGATATTTGCCAACCATATACTGGATAAGGGGTTAATATCCAAAATATATAAAGAACTCATACATCTCAACAACAAAAAAACTAACAACTCAATTAAAAAATAGGCAAAAGATCTGAACAGATATTTTTCCAAAGAAGATATACAGATGGCCAACAGGCACGTGCAAAGATGTTTAACATCACTAATTATTAAGGAAATGCAAGTCAAAACTCATGCCTGTCAGAATGGCTATAATTAACAAGACAAGAAACAACAAGTTTTAGACAGGATGTGGAGAAAAGGGAACTCTCATACACTGCCGGCGAGAATACAAACTGGTGCAGCCACTAGGGAAAACAGTATGGAGATTCCTCAAAAAATTAAGAACAGAGCTACCATAAAGTCAAACTATTCCACTACTGGGTATTTATCCAAAGAACATGAAAACATGAATGCGTAAAGATATATGCACCCCTATCTTCATTGTGGCATTATTTACAATAGCCAAGACTTGGAAACAACCTAAGGGCTCATCAAGGGACAAATTGATAAAGAAGATATGGTATATATACACAATGGAATACTACTCAACCATAAAAAAAGATGAAATCTTGCTATTTGTGACAACAGGGATGGACCTTGAGGGTATTATGCTAAGTGAAATAAGTCAGAAGGAGAAAGTCAAATACTATATGATCTCACTCACAAATAGAAGATAAAAACAACAAACAAACACATAGATACAGAGATTAGACTGGTGATTATCAGAGGGGAAGTGGGGAGGGGGGAGGGCAAAAGAGGTGACTGGGCACATGTGTATGGTAACAGATGGTAAGTAATCTTTGGGTGGTGAACATGATGTAATCTACACAGAAATTAAAATATAATGATGTACACCTGAAATTTATATAATATTATAAATCAATGTTATCTCAATAAAAAGATAGTTAAAATGGTAAATTTTATCTTATGTACATTTACTATGATAAAAACATACCAATCCCCCCCCAAAAAAAGTACTCTGATCATGCTAAAAGATATTGCACATTAACTCTGAGCTCTAAATTTTTTTGATGTCAACTCTTTCCACATGTTAAACAAGTATAGAATTTTTCTATGGCTTTCAGTGGTTTCCAAGATTCATCACTCAGATTTATAACATTCAATGTAAATATTTCAGTGACGTGGTAAAAGTGTATCAAGATGCCATTCCACTTGGTCTCAAAGTTTGGTGTGGGGGATCTTTGGGATTCAATGTCTCAGTTCCACAAAATTGCAAAGTGCATTTAATGATTAGACTAATAAGCCCTTCCTTTCATATATCTCCATGAGTTAGTAATAAAATGAAAGATTGGTTTTCTCTTCATTTTTTAGCCATTTACTCTCCTAACATGGAACTGAACCATAAAATATATCAGAAAATAGTATTACGAAGGAGGAAGCATTGTAAGATCATATCATGCTTGATTCATACACCTACTAAGGTAACTTGGAGTATTAAATGACTCTGCTTTCTAGGTCATTTACTGTAAAATAACCTAATTACACCAGATTGTATATGGTTTGATTCTAAAATGAATATTACCTTTAAAGAATAAAAAATGAGGGTGTTTATTAAAATGTTTTTGCAAATGCAATTTCGTGTTTGTTCAGAATAACGCTTATGGGTGAGTCATAATCTCTCAAATCTATGCACCTGCAGAAGTATCTCATAAGTAAAGGTGAACCTAATGCATTCAAAAGGGGTCTGGTCTATTGGACTCACCTCGAGGCATAACACTCCAAAGGGATTTTCTGACAGTCACAATGTATATTCCTAGGTTTAAAGTACATCTCAGTTTGAAAAAGGAGAGTATCCTCTGAAACAACCTAGGAGAGCACAAAGTTTAAGTATAAGGTATTTTTAGTAATAGAGGAAGTATGCACACATTTGAACAGGAAGTAGAAAACATTGAAGATCACAGAAATTGCTACTGTCACTTGTTAGGTACAGACGAAGTTCTGACAACCCACCAAAGAGGAGTGTTATCTATAAGGGTGGATTTAAAGTGCCTAGGAAAAATCTGCATAGTACATAGGAGCAAACCTAAACTGCCACTTAGAGCCATCTTCATTATCCATTAATGAAAAAGCTTTCAACAGCTCTTTTGAGAAGGATGACTTGGTGGTTAAATAACAGAGTGGTTTAAAGTGTAACTTTTGGAGCGTAACCATCCTGGTTTGGCATCTAACCCATCACCAAACAGCTGTGCATCCCAAGGCAAATTATTAATACAACTTCCAAAGCTTCAGAGCCCTCATTTCTAAAATAAAGACCAAATTATTCATAGGTGAGTATTAAAATTAGTCATTGGCCCAAAATAATATTGAATATTTGAAATATTTGAATATTTGAAAATAGTTTGAATATAAACTGTTTCAATTTGCAAATCTATGAAAAGACAATATTCTAGGGTAACAATAGTTTAAGATTTGCGCCTAGCAAAATAACCAACAGAAATTTTATTCCAATGAAAATCCACTTCCCATGTTGACACACATCCTCGTAGAACATGGGTAGATTCCAATGATCTGATGTTGAATATGAAATACCTTCCCAGGACTGGTGACCTTCCACATCAGGAGCATTGAATGAAACTTAAAACTGTCTGCTAAGCTTTAGTGAAATACAATAGCAGCCTAAAGACAACTTAAAATCAGTTCCTGTTAATCAGTCTGGAAATCTGTGCACTAAGGTTCAGTGCACACAGATGGCCCAACATTCAGTGAATGATACACAAGGAACTGTGTTGTCATCTACCCATAAATTACTATAACTAGAAGCAAAATTTGTTCTTTAAAAAAAAGAATAATTTTGGCACCAGGCATAAAAGTATAAAAAACTATTTATGTTGTTTTTACAAATAATCACTATGCTCACCTTTGTCCTGATGCCACAGTCATGAACAGGATATATAAAATCATACACAAATGTTTGTATCTGAGTCACAGGGCAGCCTGATCCCAGATATAATTCATCAGCAAATATATAGCGATTGCTGCTGTGTGCACATGGGCTAACCGAGACCATCACCCAGTCCAGAGAACAACTTATCTGCACTGCAGAAAGAATCACATGAGAAAGCATCAGATGAGTGTCTTAAAGAAGAGCTCGAAGAGCATTCAGCTCCACCCTTTGTAATAAATAAAAGGTAATCACAGCTTAAAGAATAATGTACAAAGAGTTTTCATATTACCACTCTTTTCCAAAATATTTACATAATTATATCTCCAAATAACTAGATTTCAGTTATTTCAAAGGGAAGAAAATCAACCCATAAGAGTAAGAAAAACCATAATCTTATAGCCTCCCGCCTCCTCTTAAAGAAATTAGATTCCAAAGTGGGTGATATATCGAGGACCACACATAAGGGGCAGAAGTAAATTGCAATGCATCAGAATATGAGTGATGCGCTCCCAGGAATACTTTCCAGAGAGGGAGAAGGAGAGAGTGAGGCTGTATAGAAGAATCCACATCTAGAGCAGCCAGAACCAGAAGCAATTACAGCCATGAGAGGACACAGCTTAAAGAGAGAAAATCCACTGACTGGGATGAAATTTCTATGAAACTTTTTTATGCAAAAGCCATTCTTATCTGCTACATTGAAATCTTCAGTAAGTCAATAATAATCACTATTTCTAATGGCTTCATCTTTCCTTTTGAAGAAGTGAAAATGTGCTAGATTTTGACTTAGTGTGCTGGATAAACATTAACCCAGAGTTTCTGAAGGGGTGATCAGAGTTCAGTTTCATAGGTCCTTCTATTGTTGAGAAAGAAAACAAAGATTTATTAGCTTTCATATTTAGAGATGCATATAAGTGACAGAAAAGAAAGGCAACCTTAAATTACATCGTAATACTTCCAAATTGGAGAAGGACAAACTAGAATGAAGGACAAAAGTAAACAGATTTCAAACAATCTAGAAGGCAAAAAAGAGGGAAAAAGAGACAAAAAGCCAAAAACAAACAAAAGAACAAAATGTAAGTAATAAACAGATGTGCAGAAGAGTATATTGCAGAATTATTTGAAAGATGAAAAGAATTCAGAACAAGCCAAATGTCCACCAAGAGAAAAGTGGATAAATAAATTATGGAATAGACATACTATAGAATATCATATAGCTGTGAAATAAATAAACCAAAGCAAGAATTTCCATACAGAATGGAAGTGAAAACTGACTTTTGACTGTAAAAAGTCTTAATAAGGGGCCAGCCTGGTGGCAGAGCGGTTAAGTTCCCACGTTCCACTTCGGTGGCCCAGGGTTTGCTGGTTCGGATCCCAACTGCAGACATGGCACCGCTTGGCAAACCACGCTGTGGTAGGCATCCCACATGTAAAGTAGAGGAAGATGGGCGTGGATGTTAGCTCAGGGCCAGTCTTCCTTGGCAAAAGGAGGAGGATTAGTGGCAGATGTTAGCTCAGGGCCAATCTTCCTCCAAAAAAAATTAAAAAATAAAATAAATTTTTAAAAAGTCTTAAGAATATTTATTTTATTTATTTTTAAAAAGTAAGAAAAGAAAGAGAAAGAGAGGGAGAAAAAAATATCTTATCCTCTGGTCTACAGGACCTGAGTTGACAAGTCCTTTTGACATGATTTGTCTTGGCCACACTAACTCCCAAAGGAGACAAATTATGATTTTGTAAATCTTTCATCTATTAAAAGCAGATGGAAAAAGGGAGGGAAAATAAATAGTTGGTTGCAATCAAAGAATTGCAAGTGTATCAGCAATAACAACCAATGTAAATGAACAAAATATTCCGGGTCTAATGACCAACAGTGGAACGAAGAAATAAATTGTAATATATTTGTATAATCAAATTCTATATGCTATATAAAATAAATCATAGCTATATATATAAACAGGTAAATCTAAAAACAATTGTGAGAAAGAAGCAAGTCACAATACAAACTTTATGTATGTATTCATACAAAGTTAAAATGAGAAACATTTTTTTAAAGCTTTTTCCAAGCAGACTATTTGTAAGTAGCTGATATCTGTCTTATGCTTATTAAGGCATTAGAATCACACCCCAAAGAATGACTCTAGATCTCATCTGATACAGCCTCCTCCTGTTTTACAAAAGCAAAAGCAATAGGTTTAAATCTTTTCTTCCTATTTTCCCATTGATATAAGTAACCGTAACACAACCTGTCATCCAAGCTAGAATAAATACTTTGAAACATGGATTTCATTTCTTAATCATCTCCATATTCACTGGCTGCACAGAACACACTTGAATATATGTAGATACATATATATACATATAATTGTATATATACGTCTATATACATATACATATATAATTTCAATTGTAACCCTTGCAGATAGTACTACCTATACACAGGACTTCTAAATGAGCAGAAATTGCAGAATTTCTACTTTACCACTTAAGAAAGGAGAGGGCAGGAGAGAATAAAACCTGACTAGCAATCCAAACTTTAGGGAGGCAGTGTTCTCCCAGCTGGCTGGACAGGGTTTAGATTCTGTAGACACTCAATTATTAGTTAAAAAGAAACTGGTAAAAACTGCAATACAGTTTACTCATAAGTCAGTGAAGGATACTCAAAGTGAAAATTCATAGTCCAGTTAAACATAAAGTCTGGCAATTTGACTGACTGTGCTTGGAGCCTCAGACCAATACGTGGACTGGGCTGAACTAGTTAAAGTGAACATGCATTCAAGCTGGTAATTTTGCATAGTAACTGGAAAGTTAAGTTACACTGGGTTGGGATGACAATTAAGACAAATTTCCTATACTCTCATAGTTCTCCATATTACTATATGTGTTTAAATATAGCCACCACTAAAGAACTTGCATGTCAGTTCTCTTTGGAGCCTAGCAAAACCTAGAAAGTAAATAAAAGTGGCATCCCCTCATTCCACAAATAAGTAATTCAGGCGCTGCTGAAGTCTGATCAATGCCTCCTGTGCCCCTCCAGCACATCTTTAAAGGCAAAAAAAGAAAAAAAAAGCAAAGCAACAATAGGAGTATGCTCAGTAATACTCAGGGATGATGATAACTAGCTATTGTCTCCTACAGAAAGAACATAAGGCGATGAGTAAATTGATAAGGGAGTCCAGGTCTGAAGCCTTACTTAAAGCCTGCTTCTGGAAGAAATATATGAACAGGTATATGGTCAGAAAAATCAGGAGACAAGATTTCCTTCTTAGTACAATTTAGATAACTTGTCACTGATGTTTTCCAGCATTCATGCCAATCTTGATAACACAGTATATGCCAAACATTATAACTGGAGTGTGTAAATCGCCTAAAAGTTAAATTACTTGTATTATTAGGCACCAACCATACACATGATTGACCTTGACCCTATCCACTTCACAGACCTAATTAGTAAACTGTCCCTCTATGGTAGCTGTAGAAATGCTAAGAACTGGAGGAGAATTTTTCCACAGCAAGAGCTCACTAAATTATCTCCCTGTACATGAATCTTTCATCAGTTTAGGAAAAGACAACAAGTGATTGTTGGAAGAAACAAATGTCCTTAAAAGTGACCATCTGCCATCAATATTTTAGTATCTCACACTTCTCATGAATAAGCCTAACATGATTCTGAGCAAGCCAGTCATATGTCAGAGTGGCTAATTGTGTGTTATCTTCTTTCCTATTTGACCAGTGCTCACGTACGTGATCAGTGCGAGGTAATAATAAGTCAGATCACACAATGAAATGAATAGCTCACAATTGAAACCTTAACTAGGAAGGCCCCCAAGCCAGTACTAGGGACCAGTAGGCCTTGGAAGACATTCAGAATATTCTTCAGCACTTTGGAGGAGCTGAATCTTCCCAGCATGAAAAGGTATTTATGTGATTAATGAGTAGGAAAACTCCAACACCATTTGAGCCTAGAAGTTTTTGGTCTTGACAGATAAATCATCATCAAGAAAGAACAGGCAGGGAGATATTTGGGGGAAAAATGTTTTCTTGCGCCTTTTTATAATCACTCTCTCCTAGCCACTTGAAGGCTCCCTACCCCCTCCCTAAGGAACTACTGATCTGCTTTTTGTCACTATAGATTCGTTTGTATTTTCTAGAATTTTACAAAAATGAACTACATACAGTATGATCTCTTTTTTGTCTGATTTCTTTCATTTAGCGTACTTTTTTTTTGACATCTATCCATGTTCTTGCACTTTCAATTGTTTTGGGACTGGAGACACCTGTTCTACCTCAGTCACTGTAACTTGAATCACATGCCTCCACGTGTTTGAAGTATTACTCTACAGCGCCTAGACAAGATTATCAGGAAGATCCTTCCTAAAGGCAAAAAGGTTCCAACAGTTGGGATTCAAGACAGGTTTAAAAGGATAGGTGGACATAGACACATGAGAAGTCCACGCTTCTGCCTTCACTACTTTTATTCATACTAATATTAGAGTCAATTTCAGTTTGACATTCTGAGGTTATATCTCAAATAGCTGAGAAATCATTTGAGGAACACACATAGCTGCTGCATACATTAACTGAAGCAGGATCTTCCTCACACCCGAGCATCGTGTACCATAGCCCAGCCTGAACACCCTACTCACCCCATCCCAGAAGCCAGAATCCTCCCCTGACTCCCAGGTCACTGACCTTTCTCCACATGTGCTGAACTGAGATTATTCAAATGTCCATAGCTAACATAACTAACCAACGCGCAAGCTGCGCTATTCTAGGCATTCTGAAAGATTCATTTTAGGTAAGTTGGAAAGAACAGAAACTATATATAGTTCTTGCTCAAAGGGTTTACAGGCCAAATGGATAAATAGGAAATTCAAGTATCAATTCCAAAAAAGACTCCACCTCAAGCAGAAGGAAATAGATACATCTAAGTGACTTTAAAAAAAAACACAAAGGGGGCTGGCCCCGTGGCCGAGTGGTTAAGTTCGCGCGCTCCGCTGCAGGCGGCCCAGTGTTTCGTTAGTTCGAATCCTGGGCGCGGACATGGCACTGCTCATCAAACCACGCTGAGGCAGCGTCCCACATGCCACAACTAGAAGGACCCACAACGAAGAATACACAACTATGTACTGGGGGGCTTTGGGGAGAAAAAGGAAAAAATAAAAATCTTTAACAAAAAAAAACACAAAGAACATAAATAATATTGAAATGCTGCCTTAGAGTAGTTGACATTGACACTTAGTCAGAACTTGAAGCTGGGAAGCATTCAGATAACACAAAACATGGAGAATATTCCAGGTAAAATAGACAAGATATACTGGAATCATCTAATAGATGACCCAGACATTGACTTTGCTTTATCCTATTGGCTTTGCAGAACCATTGGTGAATTTGACATCAGTGAAGATCAGACAGCATTTTAAAAAGAACAAAAGAGCATCATCAAGGGGAAATATGGAGAGTCTGGAAAGAGGAAGGTCAGTTAAGATAGAACCAAGTAACTTACAATACAGGCAAGTGCTACTGGTAATTTGCAGTGGGTTTGAAATGGCAAACTGAAAACAGAGTCGAGGGCTGTTCCCAAGGAACCTCTGCAGAGAAGGATCCAGGGAGAGAGAAGACCACAACAAAGGAGAAAGAAAATCTCAGACATTCAGGCAGAAAGAGAAAATGTGTCCTCAGTATATGGACTCAAGTCTACTGGACCCGAAAATACGTGGTCAAAATATTTGGCCCCAGGAGAGTGCCTGCCTGGAAAGTGACCCTTCTGAGTAACCCCTCCAAGGCAGCCTTCTCTACAACTGGTCATTTACCATAGATGTCCTCAGCGCAAGGCCAAATAAAGGCAGCAAGGAGAATCAAGACCTCTAAAGCCACAGAGACCTTCATCTGGGCTGACTCCCAGCACAGGACTTCTCAGGAAATAGGAAGTAGTAAGTGGCAAGTGGCTTAAGTGATTTTATATGGCACCCCATGCTCAGCTGCCTTCATTTTCCTGCTCATTTAGATAACCCACGGCGGTTCTTACCACAGTGTCAACCATCTAATTGGTTGACACTGTGGTAAGAAACTCTGATTACCCCAACACTGAAGCCCAAAGAGGCGTATCAGGTGAAAATTGCCACCTGATATCTGTGTCTGTATGAGGCCTGTGAAATCATCTGGGAGGTTGGCATGTCACACACTTCCAATAAATGCTAAATTGGAGGAAACTGTTTTCACCAGGTAATTTTCAGGTGTTATCTAATATGCTGAACAGCCTAAATCATAAAATTTGAAATCAAAAGACTTATTTCTTCATTTCTATGGGTTTGGCTGGAAGAATCAGCAGCAGAAATAATAAAATGACTTGACCAGGAACATAAATCCTTAGGAGGAGACAGGGACCTAAAGAAAAACCATCTTTCTTGGCATCAAGAAAATCCACAAATCCATCTCTGTTGATTCTTCCATAAATTAACGTTTTAGTTACTTCAATAACGTTAAGACTTAAAATTATTTATTTATAAGAAAACAAATACATGTATATATCTCACAAGGATAAATATAAAATATACATATATTTGTCTTCATGTTATATATGCATACATATGTATACATAATTTTATATGTATAATAAATATATATATATTCACTCTACTGCTCTGTTGGGATGATAAATAAATAAAAATAAAAAAAACAATAAAAGTTCCAGCTAAAGATTTTTATTCTATTTTCTAAAAGTGTCAGTAGCGACACAAATGTGACTGTGTAGTTTTAAAGTAACTTGGAAATCAAGGCTCATGGTAAATAAAATTCAGTAAGTCTGAATTGAAGGCCTATTACTATATTTAGAGACATGTGAATTATGTTTTCGATGTTATGATCTGCTCTCGAATAGGTAAATGCACAGGGCTTCCCTGAGTGTCGGGAAAAGGACTTCCATTTCCAACATCACATTCTCTAATGGACAGTAAGATCCCTAAAACTGCCATTCACAGTGTCCTGCATCTGGAAATCATGGAGAACCCAGCCACCAACAACAAAGAGGAAAGAGTATTGAAGAAAGACATAGAGAAGTCCACATGATACTGTTTGCTGTCTTTTCTTTTCTTTTTAACTTTCTCCTGATGTTCACATTGCTATGAGCTAGTTCATAAACTTTACATGTATCTTTTAAATCATTCCAATATAAGCGTCTAATATTGTTCCAAAAGGCATTGGAGTTTACTTTTTAAGAGTTTAACGTCTGGAATCATAGACCATTTTTCCACTCTCAATTTATGCAGATTTGGGAAAATTAGTTAAACCAGCGAAGTCTCATGTTCATACTCTGTAAGAAGAAGCCGATACTACCATCTACCTTAGAATTTTGTTGTGAATATTAAAAGAGATAAATGTAAGCAGTGTAGCCAAAATTAATATTGTACAAAAAATATGTAATATATAACTATTTTACTCAAACTTGAGCACAGTTAGTACCAGGGTTTCATGCCCTGTTCCAAGGATTACTCAAAGCCACGGAATAAACAAAGGCCATTTTTCCTGAAATTCCAATTTTAATACAGAATTTCACTGTGAAAGAATAATGGAATTTATTTTATTTTATTTTATTTTTTTTTTTGAGGAAGATTAGCCCTGAGCTAACATCTGCCACCAATCCTCCTCTTTTTTACTGAGGAAGACTGGCCCTGAGCTAAGATCTGTGCCCATATTCCTCTACTTTATTTGTGGGATGCCTGCCACAGCATGGCTTGACAAGTGGTGTGTAAGTCCGCACCCAGGATCTGAACCTGCGAACCCCAGGCTGCCAAAGTGGAATGTGTGAACTTAACTGCCATTCCATGGGGCCAGCCCCAGGATAATGGAATTTAAATATAACATTAGTGTAAAATGGATAGAGTTAAAGCAGAGATAAAATATAAATCTTATTTTTTAAACAACTTCTAACTTAGAGAAATGTTGCAAAAATAAAGAACATTTCCTACAAATAAGGACAGTCTCCTACTGCAGTGGTTCTCAATATGTGGTTCTTGCATGTCTGTGGGCCCACAGGATCAAAACAATTTGCATGTTAATACTAAGACATAATAAGCCTTTTTCACCATGTTGATCTTTGCAGAGATGTGTGAAAACAGCAGTGGTTAATACCACCGCCTCCTGAGCAATCAGGGCAGCGCCACCAAACTGTGTGGGTTGTCATTGTATTTTCACCCCATATAATCTCGGTAAAGACGGGTAAAGCCAGTTTCGTTTAAGAATCAAAGTACTGGGGCTGGCCCCGTGGCCGAGTGGTTAAGTTCGCGCGCTCCGCTGCAGGTGGCCCAGTGTTTCGTTGGTTCGAATCCTGGGTGCGGACATGGCACTGCTCATCAGACCACGCTGAGGCGGCGTCCCACGTGCCACAACTAGAAGGACCCACAACGAAGAATGCACAACTATGTACCGGGGGGCTTTGGGGAGAAAAAGAAAAAAATAAAATCTTTAAAAAAAAAAAAAAAAAGAATCGAAGTACTAAAAAGCATTCATTTTATTAAACGTCAACCCTTGAGTGCATGTCTTTTTAATATCCTGCATCATAAAACAGGAAAGTATATATGAAGCACTCCTGTTGTGTATCAAAGTATGAGGATTTTGCAATTGTTTGAGTTGTATACTGAACCAGCCACTTTTTTCAAAGAACACCACATTTACCTGAAAGAAGGATGGTCAGGCAAACATTGACTATTTGGACTTGGTTATTTGACAGATATTTTCTAGAACCTGAATGAAATATGCCTGTCACTTCAAAGAAAACAACTGACCATTTTTGTATCCAATGATAAAATTCAAGTGTACAAGCAGAAATTAGAATTTTAGAAAACGTGTGTTCCCTACCACTGAGCTGGGCAATGAGCTGTGAAGCTCAGTGGTGATCACACACCAGTGATTTTTTTTCTCATTGCAGTATGAAACATGTTGACATTTCGAAGATCTGCATAACTGAGTGAACCCACATTTTCCAAATAACCTAGGTATGATGCGATAAAAGCATGAGTGTTAAAAATTTTATTCAAAATGCAAGAGAGACCCAAGGATTTTCACATAACTTAGTATGCCAAGTTTATTGATGTATTTCCTGATTCCATAGTACAACAAACCTTGAGGAAGATTTGGTGTGGCATCAAAGAAGAATAACCACAATTATCTGAAAAGGCTGTTAAAATACTCCTCCTTTTCCAGCTACATATTTGTGTGAGGCCAAGTTTTCTTCATGTACTTTAACTAAAGCAACATACCACAAAGACTAGAGGCAGAAGGACGTATCAGACCCCAGCTGTCTTCTATCAAGCCAGACAGGAGTCATGCGAAAATATAAAACAATGTCAGCTTGCATTTTTGGGGAAAGTAGTTATTTTTATAAATTGTATGTTATTTATGTTAACACATGATAGGTTTATTACAGTTATTTTAATTATTTAATAAATATTTTAAATCCTACTTTAATTTCTAATATAGTCAATTTGCATAGCTGAAACCTACATAAACGAAAGTTCATTGAAATGCTCGATATTTTTAAGAGTGCGAAAGAGGTCCTGACACTAAAACTTTGAGGGTTACCAAAACCAAAAACTTAATATTGATACAGTACTGGCTCTAATCCTTACACTTCCTTCAAATTTTATTAATTGTCCCATCAATGCCCATTATAGCAAAAATAATAAAAAATAAATAAAATCCAGTTCAGATCACATATTGTATCTAGCTGTCTCTTTAGCTCCCAACATTTCCTCAATCTTTTCTTGATTTTCATGACCTCCACACTTGCATTTCGTAGAATGCATCAATTTGTGTTTGTCTGACGTTTCTTCATCATTAGGTCTGGCAGGATTTTCACAGAAGTGGTACTGTGTTCTTGCTGTACCCTATCAGGTGGTGCACGATTTCAATTTTTCCCATTATGGATGATGCAAGTTTGATCACTTGATTAAGCCGATGTCTTCCAGGCTTCTTCACTATAAAGTTACTCTTTCTCACTTTGTAAGTGACTTGTATTTATGGGGAGATAGGCTCTGAGACTGTAAATATCTTTTCTCTTGATAACCTTTCAATTTACCTGCTTATATCAGTATTCCCTCATGGTTACCTATTTTAGTCTATGGATTATAACTCGTTACTATCAGTATTTATATTTAAGCTCAAATTGTTTCAGATTTGACCAGTGGGAGCCTCTTTAGAGAGCTCCTGCATTCCTTTGATATTTCTCTAGCACTCTTTAAGCATTTCCACAGTTTTTGGCATCAAAAGTTGTTCTGGGTTTATCTTGTGCTTTTCCTGCCCCAGCCCTGGCATTGGCCATTCTTTCCAATGACCCTTGGTTTCTTTAAGTAGAACATGGTATTTGGGAACTGAGATACGGATGCTGGGTGTATTCATTGCCACTAGGCGTCACTATTCTCACGCCCGGTCAGTGGAAAAAACTACAAAAACATATGCGTGCATATATGCGTGCATATATTTACGTTATTTCTATATTTACATATCTTGATCACTATGAGTTCAAATTTATATCTCCAATTCCAATGCAAAAGAACAAAGCTCATTTCAGTTTGTCTTTCTATATTTTTGTTCCCTTCTCTAACAGTGAGAACTCTGGTTCCTCTTATCTTTAGTAGGTGGAAATTTTGGATCAACATCCCTGTGTGAAACAATCTACTGTCATCATCACCCCCACCAGGCATAAACCATACTCACCCCACTTTGGCTTCAACCTCCTGCCATGCTATGCCCATCTCTCTCTGTGTGCATAAACACCTCATCCCACGTATGCTCTGAAACCCAAGGCCATGTTGCTCTCTGAAGCAGATGCCTGTTTCACCCCACTAGGAACCCACCTGAGCTTCAAAACCCTAAACCAAACCCCTCCACCCCATAGCCTCTTCTGGACAGTGTCCTAATCCCAGTGGAGCTTCAACACTCAGTTTGGGGCCCCAATATGTTATTATAAATAAGTTATCTCGAAGACACTCATATCCACCTTTTAAAAGGTCAGTTCTTAGATACAAGTCTTAGGATGGAGTTGGGGGAAAAAATTCCTGTAAATTTAAACTAATTAAAATTCCTACACCTAAGATAACTAAGGACTGCGATTACCACTGGCTGGCTCCCTTTTTCCCCTGGAAAAATCTGCCTCCGTAGGATCTAAACCAAGACTCTCTCAGCCAGTAGCCAGCCTTCTTCAATTAGTACTTAAAAGTCATCAGGCCTAAGGAAAAATATTTAAATAACAAACTTTTCTAGAACTCGCTTTATGTTTCAAACATTTCTTACTGCTAACTCTTCTTCACATTATTACTTCTGATTATGAGGCACAAAGAACTCGTATTCACTGTGTTTCTAGGAAATTACTCCAGGTCTATTTCTATAACTAAGGCTATGGCTTTCTTCTTCC